TTGTGTCACTGTGTTTTTGTTTTCAGATGCAAATTAAATGTTTGGTCGTCACTTTCAAGTTACTGTCTCCAGGATGACATTAGTTCAAATCAGAATCATAATACTAACTTTAAGTGGATTCCAGGGGCATCTCAACTTGTGGCTACTGCTTTCAAGCTAGCTAATCCCCAGGACCTCTCAGAGTACGAAACTCCCTAAATAGAAACAAAATTCAGGGTCAAACTGCCCTCTAGTGGTGAAATATTGATATCTGTTTGGTGTCACAAGCTACAAGCTGCAGCATCGGTGCCTTCTTGATGAAGCTTTCCACCACTATCTGAGGACTTTCTGGGGCAACCAGAAAAAAATAAATAAAAATGACAGCCCTAAATAGGCAGGGTTGAGGATGAGGAGCAGGAACACAGTAGTAAGCAATTTATCTTTCAAAGTTGTACTTACTAACTTTTCAGAAGGAGTGCAAGGGACAGAGTGTGGGTGAGTTATGTGGAGGAATTTGAATAGCCTCTTGCAGTACTATCTACAATGGGTGGTAGCAAGCCTGTTCTGCCAAATTCAAACACAGATAAAACTATATTGTGCTACTTAAAAATGTGCCACTTTGCCACTTATCATTGAAACCACTTTAATGTAGTTTGCCTTATATATTTTTATTAAATGTATGCCTACCAGTTCAAGAAAAAGAATGTTATAATACCTTAAGGGCCCTTGGTCCCCCTCCCTAATGGCATCAGAGGTCACCGCTACCCTGACTTGTGTCTTTGGAATCTCCCTGCTTTCCTTTAAATTATATAAACATACATGTATAGGCCTGCCCTGAACATATGCAGCCCTGGTCAAGAACACATGGAAGCCGTGGACCATGTAGCCAAATGTATAAAATTTGTAAATCAAGCTAGTAATGTTTTTGAAAAAAAGTATGCTTTGTCCCCCTGCCTTGAAAAGTGAACCCTCCTAAAGATGTGGAAAGCCAGAATCAAATAGCTCTGGTTACCAACGAGTTTGAGCATTTTTGTACCTTTATTGGCAATTTCTTTACTGTGGAATGATTAAATGTTTTGTGATTTTCCTAATGGATTCTTTTTTCTTATTCTTATTGATTCATAGGAAGGTTTTACATATTCCAGATGCTAACCTCTGTCTAGTTACAAGTATTGCAAACACCTGTTCCCAGGCCGAGCTTGCATTCTCAGAGTTTTGGAGCACTTGGATGAACAGAAGGTCTAAATTGTAATGCAGTGGAGTCTGAGTCTATTAACTTTTTCTAGTTTAGTATATGTACAAGTCTGAAACTGTGTCTGACACAGTTTATTGTAACCTTTATTTTTCTTTATATGAAATTTTTTTATCCTAAAAATATCCTTTTCTACCCTCAAGTTTTATTTTCCCAATGTCTTCAAAAGTATCTTAGATATTTGTCCTTCACATATATTTTTAATTTACCTGGCATGAATTTTTTTACAATGGCATTATTGAGATACAATTCACATACTATAAAATTCACCCTTTTAGAGTACACAATTCAGTGTTTAGTATGTTCACAGTTGTTCACCCCCAAATTCCAGAATGTTTTCATCAACCCCCAAAAGAAACCCCACAGACTTTGACCTTCTTTTTAAAAAGATTTATTTATTTATTTATTTATTTATTTATTTATTTATTTATTTATTTAGAGAGGGGAAGGGAGGGAAACATCAATGTGACAGAGAATCATTGGTTGGTTGTCTCTCATACATGCCTCAACCAGGACCAAACCCGCCACCCAGGCACGTGCCCCAGTGGGGACAGAACCGGCCACCTTCTGCTTTGCAGGACGACGCCCAAACAGATGAGCCACACTGGTCAGGGCGCCCCTTCACATTTTAAAAATCCTTTTCTGCTTCTTCCTTGCTAAGAGTTTCTTCATGAACAGATGTTGAATTTTATCAAATGCTTTTCCTGCATCAACTTAGATGATTATGATTCTGATTTTAATCTATTAATGTGACAAACTACATTACTTTAAAAAATCAAATGAATAATCCAACAATTGTAATATAAACCATTCTCTTATGCTCTAAGAAGGAAGGAAAAAACAGCTGCCCACTGAATATTCTAATTTAAAATATTGTAAAGAATGCTTTGACCATAAGATCTACAAGCACCTCAAGGATGAGGTGGAAAGGAACATTTTTTTTTAAATAGTAAGAAGTAAATAAGGCTGGAAAAACCTGGGTGTGAAGGAGGTGAATGGATGACATATGAATGGATGACATAATGGAACAACTAATCAGGGAATGTCTTTTTTCTTTTTTTGTGGTCAATTTTTGGGGAGGTGTCACTGAGAAGGAAGTATTCCATATACCACTACAAGTACTCATGGAAGAGAAGCCTAAAGTTTGATCACATTAGAGGACATTTTTCCAGATGGTCTGTGGGGACATTAGTTAAATTATTTATGAAACAAAGAGTGGGAATTTGGAGAGTCTGGGTCTGTAAACAAAGGAGTAATGCACAGATCTTATTTTAGTTATATAGGGCAAGGTGGTTCTTTGCCATAAGTCATTTTCTGGAACACAGGAGGTTGGAGCGGTTTCCTAACTGAATGCTGTGTTTTCCCAGAACACGGCATTCAAGTAAATTGTCAGTGGCTAGGCACCCAACAGGCAATGGACAGGGAATGGGTTGGGGATTGTTTTACAAGTCACACTACCACCTCTCTAGATTTAGCATGTCCTGAGTGGGAATACCCTCTCTGGCATTTGTGAGGGGGGTGAATCACAAGCGTACAGGATGTCTATCCCAGTGATATATGCAAGGTAGAAGCCATGACCACAGTGCATCAGGTTGGTCTCAAGGGCCCTAGCCATATTATATCTATCTCCCTCCCTCCCAAGTTACATTGTATCTATCTTCCTCTCTCCCAGGTTACTTTGCTCAGAACTCAAGTTTAATTCAGGTGTCCCTTCTCCCCACTGGACCAAGTATGATAGTCACTTAGCTATGTATATCCAATAAAGCCATTAAGGTTTGCATCCCTGGTTTCCATGAGGTTTCCAAAATTCGAACAGGGAATAGGGTCTGAGGTCCTGTGGGAAGAGACAGGAGATGGTCCCACCTCTAAGGATTTTCCTCCTTAAAATCCTTGTGGGACATTAGGACCTGTCCAAAAGGTCACAGAGACATCTGGTCCACACCAGAAGGTCTTTGCTCGTGGATGTTTGAACAGGACAAAATATCAAGGCCCTTTTGGTGTGAACCAAATGTCTTTGTGGGCATTTTGGACAGAACCAAATGTATGCTAATTCTGAAAACAATTTAGATCTGGGTAAACGGGAAGGGAGGGATAGATCAGGGCATGAAGGCAAGAGCCTTCCATTTTCGGGGGGGTCCTCCCACATCTGTGTACTAGGCACAGGATCGTCATTGCCAGTGTATCTGTTGCAGCTTTGAGACTCCCTGACCCACCAGACATGTCCATAAAATGATGTCCAAGAGAAGCTGTTATAGATAACCTTTACAAATTTTGTTGTATAATCTTCATGAATACTTCAGAGTGCATACTGTCTTTTTCCTACAATACCTTAAACTTAAGGGGTGGGGAAGGAGAAGGCAGTATCAAATATAAAAAATCTTTCAGGTAGGAATAGTATTTTAACAGTAGTTGACCCACCAGCTTAAGGCTACAACTTTTCCAATCGGTCTCTTGGGGCTAATTGTATTGAATAGGGATCAGTACTTTGAAAGTTACTTTCTTTCGTAGGTCCTTTTATCTTTTAGAAACCTCATGCCAATGTTTAAAAATAAAATGCATTTTAAGTGATATCAGAGAGAACAAGCCAAACATTTTAAATATCCATTAGTATAATATTTAACATAACTTTAAAAGTTAATGATTCTATAAATTATAGGAGTTAAAAAGTGCCTCTAAGCCAAGAGTGTCCAACCTTTTGGCATCTGAGCCACACTGGAAGAAGAGTTGTCTTGGGCCACACATTAAATACATTGTGACACGTAATCACAAATAAATCTCATAATATTTTAAGTAAATTTACAATTTTGTGTTGGGCTGTATTCATGGCCACATGTGGCCCAAGGGCAGCAGGTTAGACATCCCTGCTTCTAAGCAGTATTTTTTAAGAATTGTGGAAAAGCTTTATTATGATGAGAATAATAGGCAATAGATCTCTGATTGCTGTTCTTGCTCCTTCTTAAACTCTGGTAAGTAACAGATTGCAGAAAATGTAGCTCAGGATATCCTGAAACACGTAGCCTTTGAAGATAGAACCAGTTACAATGTGGAACACATTTTAACTCCAGCGTTCTAGTGGAGAAAATAAGTGGAGTCAAGGAGATCCAAGAGCAGGATGAGTAATCATACTTGATAATGCTGACACAAATGCTCACAATATCAAACTAAGTGCAACAGGGAAAATCATACTGAAGTAAGTGGCGTAGTGGAAATGTGTTCTGGTTATATTACAGTGCAGCAACAAAGGCTGAAAAGTTAACAAGATTAGAAGACAGAACCTCAGATAAATAAAAAGAATGAGAAAGAGTAAGTGACTCTGGAAATGTACTTCACTACTGAAACTAAAGGGAAGAATGAAAAGCAGGTGAAAAACTGGGGAAAAAATAGTTTGGAATGAAGAAAAAAAATTCTCACAGTAGCATGGAAGTTCCACAGACAGGATTTCTTAGTAGAAAAAACTATGGAGATGAACTAAAATGGATATGAAGTCCTGGAAAAAAAGAGGGAAGTTTCCATAAAAGTAACCTAATCTTCTGTCCAACCACGTTAATTCTCTTTGTATCTTAAAAGCAACAGGGTTTCAGAAACTTTCCTTGCTCAAGCTCCAATTTCTACAGTGTGACCCTAAGGAGGCAGAAGGACACCAGCCTAAGTTGAAGTGTCCCGTATCTCTGCACTCACCACCTCTCCTCTGGCTCGAGAGATGTTTTTATTTGTAAAACAACTGTAGAAGTATGACAAAAATAAAGACCAAAGTTATGTAACAACAGAATTTTATAGTATATTTGTTTAATTATATTATAACCATTAATGCGATAGCTGCCTCAATTTCATTCAGGTAATAAAAAATGATGTTATAATGATGATTTAAAACTGGTTCAATCACAATTTTACAAGCTAATTTATCAAGAGTGAAAATAGAAGACTATTAAAAATAGCTAAAAAGATAACGTGTTATAGTACTTAATGTTTCTGTTCACTGTTGATAAGGCTTACATCTAAATTTGATGCAAAATTCTTAATGGCACTGAAATAGTTCTTTTCTCAGCCACGTGGTACGTGCAGTACTAGGAGTTTGGGAGAGACTGGCTGTGGGTACCACTTCTTGTCTTCAGCTGTGACTGTGCAATATCAGCAAGTGCACTCTGTATCTTTTCCAAAAGCATGTCCCCTCGATAAACAACATCTTCCAGACATGTAGCAGCTTCGTGGTTTTCTTCTTCTAGCTTATATAAGCTGGCAGCCTTTATAAGACACAAATTTAAAGATCTTTTGAGAAATGAAAAACCTGGAGATTAATAAGAGCTGAGAACAAACTGCAGAAGTCTTTACTTTAAATCTGGATGACTGTGCAACCATTGTGATAGATCTTTCAGTGGCAAATATTCTAAAATCAGGAAACTATGAAAAGCTTTCCCTGTCTGAAAATTTAAAACAATGAATTTTCAATTAGAGATATCTGGATGTCTATATGTGACTCCCTTTCACACTGCTTCTGGACACTACTATTCTACTCTACATCCAGAATGCCACCCTCCTCTCATTCTTTGCTAGGTAAAGAGCCAAAGTGATAAAAATAGGAAGTGTCCATTTAACTCAAAATCAGGCAGCTACATATACATGTTCAGCGCAGTCTTTAACAGACTACACTAATGCACAATGAATGAGATGCCCATTTTAAAATTTAATCTTGAACTTTAAATATTATAATGAATGGTATTAAATCTATCTCCTTTACTTCAAAATTTCCTGTTAGCAAAGTACTCAAAGGAACAGAGATATTTACCTGTAAAGCAGCTGTAGATTCCTCACTTGGCAAGGAGTCTATCAAAACATCAATGTCTTTTGCTGTTCGTGCAATGAGCGCTGCAAAAAGCTGGGCATATTCTAGAGGAAGAGACTACTATTTTAGGGCATGAGGGCTCAAGTTTTCAGAAAGAGGAATGAAGCATTAAGTTACGGAAACCAGAAAACTTTATATAACTTTTTCTATACTATACTTCTAACGATTAAAGTATAATTTTGACACGTCAATCCTATCACATGTTTGAGAATTACTCAATATTACTTGATATTAACTCAAATTGGGAATTAACTGTAATATATCACTTATTAGGTCGATATGGTGGTCACTTGAATAAAGAAATCTGTAAATGGAATGCCTTCCTTTTTAAGGTCCAAGAAGTAAAATTCAGTTAAATTCATAATTTTCCTCTAAAGGAGTAGCAATCTATTATTTGACAAAACAGAATTATGACATGTTATGTAGTAATATTCTCAAACAGCATTTTTAGAAAGCCAAAAGAAGCTGAATTTCTCATTAAATCTAATTTTAAAAATTACAAGTAACACGAGAGTCAGACTAAGAGAAGCCAAGAAAATTTCTTCACCTTCTGTAGGATTGGCTGGCTGGTCCTTGTTAATTGTCGTCTGAATGTTACTAAAGGAGGCGGGAGGACCACACTGCTGCAACACTCCAATGGCATTGCAAAACTGATCTGCAAGCTGGAGGCCAAAGAAAACATGTCAAAGTTAGAAAGGATTTATCAAATTTAAGGATTTTATTGGTAATGACAACATGTTTCTATAATAGTATTAGATCTTCTCTGAGCAAGGGAATAAATCAAAAACGTAATTTTTGTATAAAATTAGCCAGTTACTAACAGTAATCAAAGTTTTAATCATGTAAAGAAATTAGGTTTGGTAGCAATCTACTTGAAACAGTTAAAAAGAAATATAAAATAATCTTTCTTCCAAAGGTAAGAGAATGACAACAGAAATACAGGCCAATATTGCTTGCAGACACAAGTAAGGACTTTTTTGAGGTAGCAGTGGGAAAAAACAAATTTGACTGGCAAATGTCTAAGTAAGGTCCCACGATAAATAAAACCTGTGCGACTCATATACAAAGTATTGATCCCTTTTTTGAGACCAGGGTAGTAGTTACAAATCTAAAGAAATAGTGGTAAAAAGATAGCACCTTAAGTATTTAGAAATGTTTTTCTTCGTGACCCAAATTTGCAAACTCCTGGTGCTCTAAAAGTATTCCTTAAGCAATTTTGAACATTTAGAATACTAATTAAGATGGCAACAAATTCACAACTATCACCAACTGAATCTAAAAAACAAACTAAGGAAACAACAAAAGCAGGAACAGAATCATAGATATGGAGATCATTTGGAGGGTTATCAGCAGGAAGGGGAAAAGGCCAGGTTGGGGGGAAAGGTACAGGGAATAATAAGCATAATTGGTAAGTACAAAATAGACAGGGGAATGTTGAGAACAGTATAAGAAATTGAGAAGGCAAAGAACTTATACGCACAAACCATGGACATGAACTAAGGGGCGGGGAGGTATTGCTAGAGGGGACAGGGGTACCAAATGGAGGGGGGCAGGCAAAAGGGGAAAAACTGGGACAACTGTAATAGCATAATTGATAGAATGTATTTAAAAAAAAATTCTAATTCCTGCCCTGGCTGTTGTGGCTCAATGGATTGAGTGCCACTGGTTCAATTCCCAGTCAGGGCATATGCCTGGGTTACACGCTGGTCCCCAGTACTGGGTATGTGAGAGGCAGCCACACACCGATGTTTCTCTCCTTCTCTTTCTCCCTCTTTTCCTCTCTCTCTAAAAATAAATAAATAAATAAAGTCTTTATTTTTAAAAAAAGTACTAATTTCTTACCATCTCCAAATTTATACTCTCAGTCTTCCCATGAACAGAATTCTATCAATAGTCCTGTCCTTTCAAATCTCAATTCCTTATTTCCAATTAATGAATAAGCACTGCCATTAAACTTCTCTGCCACTATTTACATGACAGAACTCAAAGTCAACTGATTCCTTTAACATCTAATTTGTATTAAGATTTTCCTAATCAACCACTACAGTTTCAACTTTTTTCCTTTCATCTTCAAACCCTGCAAAACCTTTCCCTTTTTATCATCAGCGCTGCTATGCTAGTTCTACCAATTATCTCACATCAGAATTTTTACAATAGCCTCCTTATTGTTTCTAGTTCACTATGTTATTTTACCCTGCTCAAAAATTTTGAGCTCACCCAGCATGGTTTTCAAAATGTAACTCCAATTCTTCAGGCTGTTTCAAAGCTTTCAATAATCTAAGTCAACCCTACTTACTCATTTTTCCGCTCCTTGCTCCTTGGCATATATCTGACTAGTGATAAATTAATTCCCAAATACAACACTTTTGCTCACAATTTGCAAATGTAATGGAGCAGTGCTAAGTTCCAGAAGCTGTACACATGTGGATTCTAATTCTGGTTCAAGTAACTTGAGTAGGTTTTTTTAAATTTTTATTTTTAAATTGGGAACATTCTCACAGAACAGCAAAAAATATTCAACACAGTGGCTATCTGCCTGCTTTGTCCTTCAAAAGCTCTCAAGATCTATTTACTCAACAAATACTTATTGAAAATGAACTTTATGACATGCACTGTATATGTATAAACATTACAGAGATACAGTTAACTAAACAGTTTTTGCCCTTCACTAGTTCTCAGAGGGTAAAACAAATGTTATCTTGGTGGGGTTACGAATACATTTTTAAAAATAACATGCTTAACACCTTTGACAGACATATATACATACCTATATAAACCCCATTATTAAAAATAATAAATATCTTAATAACTTTACAAATAATTACAATTCAGATAAATGCTAAGATTCCCTCTATTTTGGTTCATATCACTCTATATATTCCAATGTACTTAAGCACTTACAGCTGAAAACACTTGATTCATTGGAGCTCCCTAAACACATACTGCTTTTGTATTATTTAAATGTCTCTTGAGTATATGACATCTTTCTAATCAGACTGCAAACTCCTTAAGGAGTATCTCTCTGTAAACATGCTAGTGCTTATATACACAGTGGGCACTCATACTAGTAAACATAGAGGCTTATCCTTTAAATTCAATCATCAGAATGCCTCCATAGGGTTAAGGCCATAATCGCTTTGTTTTTACTCTCCTTCTGGCTACAAGACAGGTATGAATAGGCAATCTTTCTCTAAAATAACATTTCCATCCGACAGCATCATTACAATTAGATTTTGTAAAACCGCAACAGAGTATCTTCTGAGGGAGGTTAGCTGGCAGCCCAGGAACTCACCACAAGGCAGAATTTATCTTGGTGAATTCATCAACATTTAGGGACTGGCCTTCTCAGCCTTAAAAGGTCTTATTTTATACACACAATGCGCAGATCAGTTTCCCACAAGTAGATTTTTGACACTCTACAAAACTTGATGCAATAACAAGAATGTCAACTTACTAGCATCCAATGCGAAAAAACTGGCAAGAGACCTGGTACTTAGATTTTCAGTCAACATATTCTCTCTCTCTATGCATCTTACCTGGACATCAAATTATAAGCAGAATGACGCTGAGAAGCAGAACTACCACCAGAAAACTATTTAACTCTTAATGGTAATAAGTACATGAATCCTATGGTTCATTAATCCTTTAAGAAGACTTAAATAAATGGAAATATACGAGGATTAGAAAATTCATTACCATTAAGCTGTCAGTTTTCCCCAAAGTGATGTGGGGCGTGGCCAGGAGATGGAACCAGACCCTTGGTCTGTAAGTACCAACTAAGATGAAACAAAACTTCTAATTCCACCATCACTCCCGCCCCAACAGTAAAGTTTTGGCGAAGGATTCTCTCGGCTAACATTTAGTAACAAAGACCCAAGCACCAAAAGCACAGATTCTCCTTCGCGGGTTAACACTGATAAGGGGGAAGAGAAGCTTCTGCTGCTTCTCCCCTCCTCCCAAACAAGAAAAGATCGTCTAAGCATCACTGATGAGATAATACTGTTCCCCGAGAACAGGACAGAGCCATGAAGCCTAAGAGGCCGAAGAGAGGGCGCCTCCCCTTCCCAGCGGAAAAAGGCTGCTCCCTCCCGCAGTTCTCTGCACCGCCCGGTCGCCGGCCTCAAACCACCCAAGACGCCGCGACGACTCCGCCGCCCCGACCGCTTTTTGTTGATGGCCTGTTTTCGTCCGCCCCCCACTTCCGGGTTCCGTCTGTCGAGCCCCTTTTCCTCCCTCGCTTTACGTCAGGAAAGAGAAAGAGGGAGACTAATTGAGTGAAATTGCGCACCGAGTTCACGGCGTCCTGAAGCTGCGTGAGCCGGTCCGCCATGTTTCTCCCGTAAGCGAAAGGTCCCTAAAGCAGCTGCTAGTACACGATTGGGCAGCTCTAAAACGCGTTGTGACCAATCATAGGTCTGCGTTCTTGGAAGGGGTGGAGTCAAGCACAACCACACGCCCACAAAGAGAGGATTTACCTGAGGCTTACTTTATTCATAGTAGCTCTACCTGGGAAACATCTTTGCTGGGGTTATTGAGAACAACTTGGGGACTGTCGGGTCCCCTAGCTTTTGGAACTAATGTACTATGCTGTTTTCCAGGCTTCTAGGTATTAAACACTTTACGGAGATTAAACTCTGCAGTTTTTAAACGTTAATGTCCAGTACTCATTTATGCATTCATTTTAAAGATTTTATTTATTTTTAGAGAGGGGGGAGGGAGGGAGGAAGGGAAGGAGAGAAACATCAATGTGTGAGAGAATCATCCATTGGTTGCCTCTTGTCCCCTATCCTGGGAGGAAGCCTGCAACCCAGGCATGCGCCCTGACTGGAAATTAAACTGGCGACCTTTCACTGTGCTGAAGAATGCTCAATCAACTGAGCCATACGGGCCAGGGCTATGTATTCACTTTCACACATCTATTTAAATATTTATTTTACAGTGCCTTTGCTTTCCAGGTGGACCACAAAACATACACAGCAAGCAACTCAAGAATACTTGGGAGTCAAGATACCGACTTTAACCTCAACAAATACAAACTAAAAATCACCAGACAATCAGGAAGGGCTGGGTTAAGGATGTTCCTGTTGCTTTTGGGTAGGAAGGGCTTTATCCAAGTGGAAACTGGGTGCGTGCTTTAATTGCGAGTGTGGGTGTGCTGGGGAAACTGACACAAACAAGTGCTAAACTGAGTGGCATCGCCTGTGTTGGAAGTGGACAGAAGGAAGGTCTCCATGGGCAAAGGTAAGAAGAGCATTTGGAGTCAAGAGATAAGATGTGTTAAGAGATAAGATGTGAGGTGAGCATTTGCAGTAAAGAGATAAGATGTGGAGTGTAGGCAGCTAATAACTGTCTCTTGCTTGTGTGACAGTGAGAAAAATGTGTGGGGGTTAGCAGAGAGGAGAGTGGAGGTTTAGAGTGTGTAGTTGGAAAGAGAGGTTCCTGGAAAATAAGGGACATGTATAGGAAGTGCAGCTTCAGTTCTTTAAGAGATAAGCTGTGCAGTTTAGACTTAGAGTTAGGATCTGTTGAGAGTTTGAATGTGAAGAGTGATAGTATGAACTTGGTATTAAGAAAAGTTAGCCTGGGGATAGGGAAAGAAAACTGCCTGGAAACAGCCAATGATGGGTTTGTGGACTTGAAACAGACTCAGTACTCTCTCAGTTAGATTATCCCTGAGTACCTACTGGGATAGGAGGAAGGTGAGGGAAACTACCCATGGGGAATTTATCTTGTTGGATTTACTCCAACCCTGACTGGGAAGCTCCACTTCTGCTTCTCTTCCACTCCCATTTCCAAATAATATACATACCTCTGGGGCCTAATTCAGCACCTGCCCCATAATGGGAATAATGAGAGGTAACTCTAATTTGTTTTATCTGTAATTTGGGGTAATCCGTGATGTTCTCCTCCCACCCCCGGTTGAGAGTGTACCTTATTTACTGAATGCCTGCCACGTGCCAGGAAGTATGATGAGTGCTAGGTTTGCAAAGACCAATAAGCCAGAGACTCACTAGGAAGGTTTTACAGTTATCCAAGAGTGAACTGGGCCTAGACTAGACATTGACCCTGATAAGAGAAGATGGGCTATTTTTGAAAGAAAATTAACATAGATTGGTGACTGGCTGGATACAGGAGGATGAATGGGAAGACCCACTAAAGGAGAATACCAAGTTTTGTAACCTGATTGAAGAGAGGGGTAACCTGGGGTACCTGGGCTAGAGGAGCCACTTCAAGTTATGTTACGATACAGCCTTTGTTCTGTCACTAATTACCTTCTGTACAGATTTTCAGTAGCTCCACAGAGACCTCGGGTTGATGCCTAGCCATGTCTGCCTGGTTTACCAGGTTCACTGTCATCTTGGCTGAAATACTAAAAATAAGTGCTTGCTTTCATTGTTTGCTTATTTACTTAGACTCCTCAAAATTCCCTAAACATGTTCTGCTGTTTCACACTTCTATGCACACTGTATAAAACACATATAATTCTCTCTTCCTTATATGAAATGCCCACACTTCTATTCATACCTCCGTCTTGTTCCTTTGTTAATTGGTTATTCAGCTTTCAAACTTTATTTTATGTACGTATGTATGTATGTATGTATTTTTAAAGAGGGGTAGGGAGGGAATAATCAAGGGAGAGAAACATCAGTGTATGGTTGCCTCTTGCACACCCCCTACTGTGAGGAGTTGGCCCGAAACCCAGCAACCCAGACATGTGCCCTAGACTGGGAATGGGAACTGGTGACCTTTTGATTCTCAGGCTGGCACTGAGCCACAACAGCCAGGGCTCAGACTTTACTTTAAATATCTTCTTTATAAAACTTTTCCTGAAACTCTCATTAGTTGTTCCCAATCTTTACCACAACTGTTTCTTACACATCTGTTATTGCACTTGGCATACTGAAGTGTAATTATTCATACATAACTCATATTTACTTAGCACTATGAAATGCTATAGGAGCGGGTAACATATTTTAATTGTTTCCATATTTCCAATACCTAGCACTAAGCTTTTAGACTGACACATAGAAACCTCTGGATGCATATTTTGGACTGAATGAATGAATTTCCTAGCATAATGACTTCCATATAATAGTGACTAAATAAATATTCATTGAATTTAATAAAAACAGTCAAAGTAACGTATGTTGCTGTCCACAAGAAGAACATGAGTTTAAAAATACAGAGCGAAGTTGACATGAGAGTGGAAATGCCAAGTTTCAAAGGTCTTTTAACTAAATGGGCAAGTTTCTCAAAGGTCTTTTCCTGCCTTTTCCCTGAATCCCTACCCGCATCTCCATCAAGATGTCTTGAGCCAGCCTTCCTTCCTTCCTCTCTTCCTCTGGTCCTTCCTTCCTCCCTTCTCTAAACCTTAAGCAGACTTTAAGGTTCTAGTTATCTACAGGGTCCGGCACAAATAACACCTCTTTTTTTATTACAAAATCTTTTATTACAAAATCATAAACATGTAATTCTGTAACATAACATCACACTAAAGCATACCATAAAGACATTTTAGGTGAAATGTTCAAATTAAAACTATAAATTATTACACCCATATTATTACCCTACCAACCACACTGAAGCAGGCGTTACTTCTGCGGGACCCTGCATATCTTAAGATTGGGGAATCATGTCAGTTTTTGTATTTCCTCTCAATTCACAGGAATAACAAAGTCATCTGCAAAGCTGCTGAGCCCATTTGCTCCAGTCTCCACTGGAACTCTTACATGAGCAAGGGACCTCAGCCAATCATCCTCACAAGCTGTCACAGTGTTTCAGAACCAAGATAATGAGACCCTCTTATTATTATTATTGACATATCTGTCATTAGCTGTCCTCTACAGGCATGGGGAACTACAATGCAAAGGTATGGAAGGGAGAGAATTAGGTTAGTTCAGGGAATTGAAATTAATTGAGTGTGCAGCATAGAAGAGTTTGAGTTTAGTTGCAGCAAGAAACTGGATAGATGGATTGGAACTATATCATGAATGCATTATGTATCATACTCAGGAAAATGAACCGTTATCCTTAATGTTTGTAAGAGAAAATCTTTAAAACTATACATATTTTCTCAAAAATTATATTTTCTTGTTCAAAAGCAATATTCAAAGGAAATTTTCACAAAGTGCAGACATGTGCAAATAGTCATTTTTAACCCAATCACCTTTATGATTTTAAACATGTTGATACTTTTCCAAGCTTTTTATTAATATAAACATAAATGCATATTTAAAAGAAAACAAAGCTTATACTATAAATATTTATTGCTTTATAACTTGCTTTTTTGTAAACACTTCTGAATCAATCAGTTCCCTTAAAAACACAACTTTTGAAGGGCTACACAGTATTTTTTTATATGCATGTATCTCAGGTTATTTAATTCCTTATTGTTGGGCATTTATGTTTTAGTTTCTTTTTGTATTGTAAATAACATCTTGAGCGGTTTTTTACACTAATTTCATACATCTATCTAAGTTTTGTTCAGATTACATACTTAAATCAAAAGTAGAATTATACCAAAGCTATGATGTAAATTATCCCATAAAAAATTGTTTCAAATTACACTCCCAGCTAGTGTTATCTTACACTGTCTACTACTCAACTCTTTCATCTGCACTGAATGTTCTTATTCTTTTAGAACATTTACAACTTATTTTCTTAATTTGACTTTTTGTTACTAGTGAGTTTGAACTTTTTCATGTTTTCATTAGTCACTTATGTTTCCTTTTTTGTTTGTGTGTGAAATTCCCTATTTGTGCCCTTGGCAAATTTTTATTTTTTTTTTTGTCATCAGCTTGACTTTTCATATTGTTTAGAGTTTTTAAGTTTCATGAAATTTATTTACTTATTTATCCTCACCCAAGGACATTTTTTCATTAATTGCTTTCAGAGGGAGAAAAGGAGAGAAAGAGAATCATGGATTGGAGAGAGAAGCATCGATTGGTTGCCTCCTATATTTGCCTGGACCAGGGATCAAACCTGCAACCTAGGTGTGTTTCTTTCCTGGGTATCCCACCCGCAACCCTTTGCTTACAGGATGATGTCCCAACCAACTGAACGGCACAGGCCAGGACGAAATTTAACATTTTAAGTAGCCAGACCTACCAATCTTTTCTTTCATGGTTTCCTTCTCTGCTTTTTTGTTTACAAAGTTCCTCTCCTGAGCCCTTCTAATCACT